AGGCCGTCCGCCGTGGTAGTGTTGCTTCCAGGTGCTGGCGGGAGTTTCGAAGTGGAGATTCTTGGAAAAAGGAGGTAAATACAAGAACAACCCCTTGAGTTTGTCTTTGCAGAAAGCATTGTGCCGACAAGGTACTTCTCGAACTATATATAAAAATTGGGAATGTCTGAATGAACACACATACGTCCTTACTAAAAAATTATTAAAAATTAAAAATTAAACTAAAAAATATATGTTATAGACAAATCAAATTTCGTGAGATTGCTTAGCTTTCTTCATTCTTTTGTTTCTCCCAAAGCTATGCACTTCCACCAGCCTTTCATTCAACTACCTTCAAATTTTGGTCAAAGTTCCTTGAAGATCGTAGCAACGATTTACTAGCTCTCACCAACAAATCTGACAGTTAATAGTCGTGAATCGTAAATAGCATTTCACTCATTCAAAAAGAAAAGTGTTGTATGTTTCTCATTTCAAGTCATAATACCACTCAAATTATCAATTAAAAAAAAAAAAAAAACACATCAAGCTCGAATAGATATGAGTAGTCAACTACATTCAAACAAGGAGTTAAGTACAAGTTTTTTTTCATTCCAGTTTGGTACCTAAAGTCATAATTCTGGAATACTTTCATACATCCGTTAAGTTTTTCGTCATAACCTCTATTAACTAATGACGTGGCACCCACGTGGACAATAATTGGGTGCCACGTGGACATTAAAAATAAAAATTAAAAACTAGGGTAAATCTTAGTTAATACTACCCTAAAATTTCTAGGTTTTCAACATTTCATACATCAAGCTTTTTTCATCCTAGTCTAGTACCCAAAATGATAATTCTTAGACAGTTTCATGCATTTGTTAAGTTTTCTATTAAAACAGCAGTTAACTTGTAACGTGCCTTCCATGTGGACAATGACTAGGCATCATGTGTCAACCTAGGGCCCACGTTGACACACCCGACCCTGATATTCCCCGAACATCAGGGTAGGTACGTGCTGGCCGACACTCAAAGGTGACGAAGCCATATTAGGATGCATGAGAAATAATAATTATAAACAATACTTATAAATTTAAATACAATGATTATGCAAATGAGGAATGTGTTCAGAGCATACAATCTAACTAGAACACTAAAGGGAAGAATATAAAATTGAATGAATAGAAGAATGGGTCCTACACCAAGAGGACTCAAAGATGCCGATGTGGAAGTGCCTTGACGCTCGGATTGTACGCCTCGATTTTAAATCCTGAAACAAACATACGTGAACCAAATTGATATATATATATATATAATACTAAAACAGTTATCAACATACTAACCCCCAAAGTTTTATGAAAACTCAGTAGCATAATATGTAATAGGTTTTTCTAAAAACCCTAGCATGCCATAAAACCTTTCACGAAACATATATTGTATAGTGTGCTAACTAGTGGTATCATATATAAGTATCTTCCGGCTAAAGAGATCTACCAATGCCTGGACGAAGCCAATATAAGTGCCTTCTTCCGTAAGCACAAAATAGTGCCCTACACATGCCCGCCCGAAGGCAATATAAGTATCATCTCCTATACACACAGAACAATGCCCTACACATGCCCGCCCAAAGGCAATATAAGTATCATCGCCCGTAGGTAGAACAGTGACCACTAGATATGCACAAAACCATTGAATATAATCTTTCCATAAAACATATATCATATACCTCAAAACCTCTATATAGTATATAGTCATCCATCATGTATACTACAAAGAGTGTAAGTTCGATAAAATATGGTATTCCAAAATATTCTCAGTAAAGTATGATAATCATAAAATGTAAATTTAATTTACTCATAAAACATAACCATTAAATCATGCTTTTCATGTATGCATTTCTACTATTAAAACATGCATTTTAGAAGGGGTCCACTCACAGATACTTCGCCACCGAAGAGCCACGCAAACTAGCGAAGACGGAAATGCCACAATAAATACACCTAAGCACATAAAGGGTCCAATTAACAAAACTCTATTCAAACGATTGAATTTGGGAAAACGGACATAAAAAACAGATTCAAGACGTCGAATTACTCTTAAAAGGGTCCCGGGTAAATTTCGAAAAAGTTAACAAAAAGTCAGCACGAGAATATTTCATTTGGTCTGAAATGGGTTGGGCTAAAGGCCCGTGGTTTGGGCCTGAGTTCAATGGCCCAAAGGCCTAGGTTTTGGGTTGCTTACTTTAGTTTTGGGTTGGGTTCCACAAAGGTTTTGGACTTGGCTTTAAGGGCTGGACTCAAGATTGGGCCAGGTAGCTTGGCCCAAGGATTAGGTCGGGTTAATGTCTCTAGGTTAAGCCTGGCCCGTTTCCAGGCCGATTTCAAGGACGAGGAAAGCCGGAGCTTTCCAAGCTCAATTCAACCCCAAAACGTAACCAAAATAGGTCATGCAATATACCAAAATGAAGCCCAAGGAACAAGGAAGAGATTCGTACCAATTTCAAGGTGTATGGTGGCCGAAGTTGACCGGAAAATGGCCTACAACTTACGGGGTTCGCCGGAAAATATAAGAATGCTTCCTCGAGTTGTTCCTACGTTCAAATGTTACCAAGGTTCTCAAAACCACCCTAAACTAACCTAAAACATGATCTAAAGGGATCTTAGGAGGCTTACCTTAGTTGCACTGTTGAAAACTTTCCGATGAGGTGCAAGCATACTGATTGTGCTCCAATGCAGGCCAAGAAGAGAGGGAGAGTGATCGGGAGAGGGGTGAGGGAGAAAAGGATGGTCTAGGGGGTGGTGGTTGTGTATGAGTATGTAAGTGTGGGTGTGTGTGTGGGAATGCGTCGGAGAGGAACGGAGAGAGTCGACAAAGGTGAAGGGTGTGAGAGAGAGAGAGAAAAGATACAGTGCACGGGAAAATGAGGAGGGAAAGAAAGAAAAAAAGGGGCCGGGGGACCAAAATCAGGGGTTGGGCCCCTTGGGAACACCATTTAACATCACAAAGCAATATTTTAAACAAATAAAACCCAAACAAAGTAAAAATACAGAAATACCCCTTCATTCCATAAAATACGGGATGGACAACACACGTGGATATTAAAAAATAAAAATAAAAACGAAGGGATTCAAAACATTGAGTTCCCAACGAGTTTAAAACTCAACCTGGGCAGACCTGGCCTCGCACACCCCCAACACGTTGACACAAAGATCGAAGTTTGGTGTCGAATTCGAAACAACGGCGTCCGAAGAGCTGCCTCTGATTCGAAGATAACTTTTCGATGACGGGGACAGGGTGTATTCCATGAGGCATTACGAGAATTTGTTCCTGAACAAGCGACTCAGTTGCTAGGAAAACAAGAGGGGTCCTTTTCCTAGGTTCACGGTTGGAGCAATCGATGCAAGCGGAGCAGGTGAGCCAAACGAGATCGCTGTCGGTATCGAAAACGAGAAAGAGGCGATGTGGAGGAGTGCCGATGCAGAGATCGACGAAGTACTGTCCGGAATTTCCTGTCATCTTAGTTTAAAGTAAAATATCGCTTGTAGAGAAATTCACCTGTCATCTTCTTCAAGGGCTTCTAGAGATGGTGGTGGTCTGGCATCTTCAAGAATTCCCAAGGGAATCAGACCTTGGAACTTATTAAACTTGGCAGGAATTCTTGAAGAAGACTTGGTGAGTGAAATTGCAGTGTAGCCATTGAACATAGAGTGAGAACAAGATAAGGGCAAATGTGTGAAGAATGAGGAGTTGGATACTGAAGAAGAAGAAAGGGAGTAGAAGTGAAACAGAAGAAATGGAGCATAAGTGAAACAGAAGAAAGGGAGCAGAAGTGAAACAAGCAATATGGGGATGTGGAGGAAGCCATCAATGAACTCGCCACTGACACCATCATTACTTGTACAAAAGTTGGAGAGATTTTATTTTATATTAGATAAATATTATTTTTATTGCTTTTGTGATTGACTTGAGTATTGAGTGAAGATCTTTATAGAAATTAAGAAGAAAATCAATCAAAGCGAATTTATACATTTTATACATTTTAGAAATAATTATAAAATGCACTACTAAAGTTTAGAAATGCTAATAATCTTCTCACTTATTTTTTCAGTTCAACTCTCTCATTTCTTTTAATGTCAAGTGTGCTCTAGTGGCATTCAAAGCTCTATTTTAATTATGTTAAAATATTTGTCAATAAGAAAATAATTAACCCCTTATTGCGTGCTAGTAGAATAAACTTGACATAAGTAAAAGTGAAAATGTTGAATATGAAAGTAAGTAAGAAGGTTATTAACATTCTCTTGAAGTTCTGGAAATAATTTCCCTAAATGGATATGACCTTTCAATCTTTATGTATTAATCAAAAAAGTGTTAAAAATATTGACCATTCAAACTACTAATGTGTATAATTTCGTAGGCTTTCGTGAATCGTTTATGTAGCATGTGTGGAGCTTACGTTTTTTATTTGAGGATACTAATATTGTGAGAAAATTAGAACGTTTTATCGCCTTATTGGAAAGTAAAACAACACTACAAATTGTATATGCAATTGAATAATACCAATTTTTTAGCCTAAATTTACAAATTATATAATGTGTGACCATTAAAAAATAAACACGTTAATCAATACATAAGTAATAACTTAATTATCAATAATCACGTCCTATGATTACAAAAATTTAGTTTAAAAGCTGATCTTCCTAAATTACCCTTTGCAATTAGTTCTAGGGGTGTGAGATCCACACACCCATTTTACTTCTCACACACCTTTTGAATTTTCGAACGTCGGATTGGATTAATTGAAGAAGATCAACGGACAGAAATTATCAAAACGTGTGTGAGAAATAAAATAAAATGTGTGGATAGAAATTATCAAAACGAACGACGTGAAATTAAGCGTCGCTTTGCGTTCCCACCGACTGGGCCTATTGGGCAATTTTCGAAGCGGTCCACCGAGAAATTTTTTTATAGCCGTTAGAAAGAAAGAGCTCCCTTACATTTAGACCGACGGCTCAGATTCACTCAATTCAAACTTCAATGCAATCAAAACACTATCCTCACAAATCCCTCCGGTCCTATAAACAAACGGTCTCCTCTCTCTCTAGCTCTCAGAGATCTTCGCCTAAAACTCACAACCCTCTCTCTCTCTAGAACTCGCATTCTTGCAGTGACTCGATTCCATGGAAGGTACTCTCCTGACTGTCCTCTCTCTCTCTCTCTCCCCAATTATTTCTTGTTTTTGATTTAATTTCTTGTTAAATCGTTGAGCGAGCGGCGTAATAATAGCGAATTTTTCCGCTTTAATTCAGATCAAGCGGTGGAAATGTTCCCCAAAAACTGGAAAGACTTCGTTGCGAGTCAGGACTCCAAGCCCTCTTCGACCTCTGAAGCAGGTTCTTTTTGTTTTATTTTATTCAATTTCCCCACTTTTTAATTTTTTGAATTACAAGAAAGTGTTGAATTTGAGGTTCGGATTCGATTATTACTGCTTCTTCTAGTTTTAATTTTGTTTTCCCGTCCAAGAAAATGTAGAATCGGGAAATTTTCTGATTCAATTTCAACCCTCTTTTTCTTGAGTTAAAACTTAAAACCCGATTACAATACAGTTGGACGGTGACGTGAGCAAAGGTGGGTAATTTCAGAAATTCTTAGTTTTTTAATCTTTAATTTTCTGAAAGAAACTGGGAAACTTTTCAACTAAACTGTTACATTGTGAATTTCAAGTGAGTAGTTGAAGTCAGGCTCTGATTATGTTATTATTTTCAGAATGTACTCCAGATATTGCTACCAAACCCGTCGAGTGAGATTCTGATTATATTATTGGTGAGAGTAGCACGCCGAACGGAACTCAACAAGGTTCTCCATGTCAGACGGTCCTTCCAGTTTTCCAGATGATCTCAACTGGCGTATCAGGTATGTATAAACCACGAATTTCTGTTTGTTTATTTTGTTTTCATTTCCCCAATTCAATTTATGACTTTGATTACTTCGCCTTCGTGTTCCTGTAATGTCTTACAGGATAGATTTAAGGACTGGGAGTCTTCAGGTGTTGAGATTGTGCCGGTATTATCACAACCCCATGGCGGTTGGACAGGACAAAGTGGTTATATGTGCAGGTAGACCTTCACCCCATCCGCTCTAAGTTTCATTCAAAGTGGTTCCGCTTCTGAAGTACAGAATTAATGCTTTCTGTGGTTATACATTTTCAGGCTGCTTTTTCCAGAGCCAAGCAAATTTATAATCCTCTCTCCACACTCCACAGCTGCTGTGTTATGCGGGCAGAAGCAGATGACTGAGGTATCCTTACTGTTCTCGTTCACATTTCTCAGTTTGCTTTTGTTACATTTGTCGTTATATTTCAAGTATGCGTGTACTTGTTTATTTGACTATCCGGTTCGTATGAGATCATGTGGCGACTGGTAATGAAAACTTATATTCAGCTGAATGTCGATGTACAAGTTTGGTTATGGCCGAATCCCTTTTGTAATTTTGCATGTTCAAAGTCGAACATGGGATTGAAGATGGATATTATTCTTTGAATATATAACTTTGAAATTGGACAAATACCTTTTCTTGAGTCTTGATCTGCGCCATACCACTGCCTTGTTTACTAGTTTAACTCACAGTTTAGGTGTAAATAATTTGTTGCAACATCACCTAATATCGTCTTCACCCCGGGCCCATTTTTTTGGCCTCTAGGGTTCCTCATCAATAAGAATTTTGCTCTACGGTTATTCTAAGTGTAAGTAGTTGTAGACATCAAAATTTCGGTGAAATGAATGTTGAGAATTTTTCATGTTTACAGTAGTAAATATATCCGAAAATGCCGCACGCTTTAATGGTCTTGGACCAAGCCATTTTTCTTAAGGAAGCAAAGCTGCAAGGCGCATGTTGGAGGGAATGTTTCTTCATTAGATGATGTTGAGGTCATTGTCTATTTATGGACGTACATGACACCCTGTTTTTGTGTGAAAAAAGTGACATATTCATATACTTGCATGATACGTGTAAACAAAGAAAAAGAAATATGAGCGTCGTGCTTGTCCACAATCTAACTTTATATCATCTGATTTGACTATCAAAATTCAGGTAATTCTTTAATCCAGCATTGTGTTTTGTTAACGTCGCTTTGAGGAAAAGCTCAGAATGGTGATTGGAAGCATTTGTATTTTCTTTCTGTTTTGAATATTTCGACAAATTCACTAAACGTTTTTGGTTTTGTTCTCATGCTTTAGGATTTGAAGAGAAGTCAAGCTCATTACAAATTCCTTTCCGGACCCTGCAGTTCTAAACACCATTCAGCTGCTAAGTGAGCCTTTTGTTTTAATTACTCACAATTATTTTCTAACTTTCCTTCTCTTTTTAATTGTAATTTGTTGTTTCTGGATATACAAATGCAGAAGCTTCATCGGAATTGCCCTGGTATGCCTTCTGAATACTCACTTTATAACTGCTGCTTGTTGTGACTATGCTTAGAAACATGCATAGGAGTTAACTGCTAGATAAACATGATTATGAATGATCTTAGAGACTTAGCAATTCAATGATAGGCTAGGAACCCATAGCTGCTTGTCTGCTTTGACTATCCTCTGCGTGAAATTTGATTGCATTGAACTGCTTAAATTTTTTGCAATATGATAGTCTTAGAACTCCTGTGGTTGATGTGAATGAATGAATTGTTGCTGGATGCAGGATCCAGTTTTTCTTTATTTGCCTTGCACATCTTAGATGAAATAGGGCCGCATTTTTTCTTTATTTGCCTTGCACGTCTTGGATGAAAGAGGGCCGCCTTGTATGACCTGATTGCAACCTGCAAAAGGCCGAAGTTTTCCAATCAATAACCTGTTAACCTGTTTTTATCAACACAGTTTTTCACAATAGAAGTTTCTCCAAGCAAAAATTTGCTTTGAAAAGATAAGAATTTTATCCAACAAAACAAATGCTTTTTCGAATTAAAAACACACTTAGGCAAACAAGAATTTTATTGCAAGCAAGGATTTTAACTAGAATTATTGAAAGAAAGCAACAAAATGTATTTTTGTTGGATTTTTTCAAGTTAATGTCTATAGTTGATGTGAGAATTATACGCACACAAATTAAACCCTCTTTTTATCAATTGTAGTGAAGAATGTAAGTAGGGATCGTTCTGGACCGGGGATTAGGAGGGATTGTTAATCACTTGGAATTGACTCAAAAACGTAGAAACACAATATAAAACACTTTACTAGACTCAAAGAATGCAAAACTAAACTTTAAAACACCAAAACAACCCAAAAGACTCAAAACAGCACCAAAACACTCAAAACTGCCTTAAAAACACAATCTGGGCAGTTTTGAACACTAGACACAACTTTAAACGAAAATTGGTTTTAACTTGACCTAAGACACTTAAAAACACAAACTAACTTGATTTCTAACTAATTTGACACTCTAAGTAAAGGGGGATTTTGATTTTGACGAATTTGAAAACAAAACTTAAAACTTTGTAAAACGAACAGATTTTAAACGAATTTGGATTTAATGAATGGATGGGAAGCTAGCTAAGGGGTTCATCTCCACACATGTTATACTTGCACACAAAACGATTTCTAATTGCTTTTCAATAAACCATGAATTCTCAACGCCCCAGATTAACCGTGAATTGCACTAATTAACCCTCAGATTTTCCTAACGTTATTGAATTGGATGATTGCATACGACAAACGAAGCACTTGTTACTATGATTGCATGAAACTTATGCCAAGAATTTACTTAACGCGATTGAGATCATCAACCTTTACTACTTGTGAATATAATTCCATAACGATTAGGTGAAATTTCCTTATATCCTAGCATCCAATTTATGCATGATAATTAAGCGTGCACTCTCAACCAACACACACAAATCAATGTAATTCACATAGATAAGTAAATTGAATTCACAACTTATGAAACGCAATTAGAAGTAATCAAGTCATATTGCAAGCATAAACATGTGTTTCAAATCCCCCCTAGCCAAGAGGGGTTTAGTTCCTCATACGCACAAAACAAAGAGAATTGAAATTAAACATTGAATTCAAAGGAAAAGAAACACCTAGAAATTCCAGCGACGTGAACTTGAATTGCAGGAACTTCCGAGCTTCCTTCTCCTCCTCCTTGGTGTGGCAAGGGTCTAGGGACAGGTTTTAGGGCCTTAGGTGTATGGATGTATGGTTATGGAGGGATGTAGTAGTGTTTAGGGGAAGGGGATGGTGCGGCAAAGGTCTAAAACTAGGGAGAAAGCTGTTTGGTGGCTGCGGCAAGGGTGTGGAGAGGTTTGGACGAATTTATGGAGTGAATGAAGGTGTATGAGAGGTGGTGATCTGATCTAGGGGTTAACATGAGTATATATAGGCACTAAAAACCCTAGGGTAATCAGATATGGACTTGAATAACCCAAATCAACTAGGAAATAGGCTTAGAAATCAGAAATAGAGAGGGATAATGCTTCCTAGGTGCGGCAGGTATGGGATAAGGTGATAAGGTTTCTAGAATGCCTTGCAAGGCAAGGGAAATCAGATTTCTAGAAGGGTTTGGGCGCCACCTTTGTAGGAGATAAGATAAGGTTCCTAAAATCATGCTTTAAGTGCCAAATTTGTAGGGAAAAAGGGATAAGGGTGCGGCAAAGCTTAGGGATAATGTTTAGGGCTTCTAGAAAGCCCTAAAACTAAGGGGAATTAGATAAAACCCACGGCAAGGATAGGATATGGTGTCCTAAATGGATAAGGTGCCCTAAATGGATAAGGACTCCTCATTGTACTTGGAAACTTTGCCTATTAGGATTAGGAAACCTTGTCTTCATCATTCCTTCTTCATCTTGGACTCCTTTTCCTTCTTGGACTTGGAAAACTTCTTTGTTGCTTCTCTTGAAACCATTTGGATTTTGACTTTCCTACTTCAAGTAGGAAACCTTGTTTGAGTAGGAATCTTCATTCTTCAAATCTTCATTTTTGTCCATCCTCTTGGCTCCAAGCATATGATGTCCATTCCAAGCTCTAATTTGCTCCAAGCATATGATGTCCATTACTAGCTTAAAAGACTATTACTAAGGAAAAACACTATAAATGCACAAGAACAAGCTAAACTAAGGTGCATAAATATGCTCCTATCAATAGTTAGACGTAGTAGAAGTCTGATGGTCAACTCACTAGTTTATTCAGAGTCATTGACTCGTGTGCAACATCGTATGATGACTCCCAAGTATGGTTTCAGCTTGTGATCATTCACTTTGAATGTGTTGCCACTTTACTCATTAATAATGTCAATAACCCCATGAGGATAAGCCTCTTAGTAACCCAACGTTGCTCGTTCCAGCCGGATTTCAACTTCTCTGGAAACAACTTAAACCTTGAATTAAACAACAACACTTTTTGCCCTGGTTGAAACTCTTTTATAAATTTGATTGTCATGAAACCCCTCAGTTTTCTCCTTGTAGATCGGAGCACTTTCAATATGCCTCATTACGAATTTTGTCTAGCTTGTTGAATTGCAATTTACGCTTATCACTAGCAGAATTTGTTTTGGCCCAAAGCTGTTTCAAATATACTATGGGCTGCTTGGTGACCCTGGGTCATTCAGCAAGGATGGTTGAGTCGTATCACAAGAAGGAATAGTTTGGATAAGCGAAGGGGATGTGGAAGTCTTAGGGCAATTACGACTCTCGACCAACAATGAATAAGCCCTCACAAAGTCCTAATGGGGGTAGGATTTGTCGAAGCAGAGTTGGAACGGAATAAGAAGTCCCAATCCAAATATGATTTTGACTCGATCTCAAGAAAGATTCGGTATTATAAATACAAGACATTATGCAACAATTGAATGACCTCCAATTCAACACACAACTGCCCAGTGCAAAACCTCTCAAACATCTTGAGATTTTTTATTTTCTTTTTCCCGCCGAAACATCTTCAATTTGGATAAACAGCACTGTGAAGGTAACCGATGAACACCTTCAATTTGGATAAACAGCATTGTTGCCATAGAATCAGCCGACCGAGGAGCACCTTCAATTTGGATAAACAACACTGCGTCGAGGCCGACTGGTTACCTATCCAAGTCTCGGTCAAGAAGGGTTTTCGAATCCTTATTGGCAGAGGTCATCTTATTAGCCTTCTCGGCGAAGTAAGGTGTTACGAGTTACGACATTCGGCCTACTGGACGCCGAGTGATTTTATGACTGGATACTCACCAATGAGTTTCAGAGTTCAACATTCTGACGGCCGAACCACATTCACCATCAAGACATACATCACCTTTGAATACTTGTGTCCGTACAGTCTGGTGTCGATTCGACGTTTTTATGCTCTTACCAATATAATCACTATGATCGAATCCGACATCGACGATTTATGAACTTAGCAGAACTAGCAGCCTTGTCTTTAGGCTCGAGAATCCAAAGGTCGAGATTTGTTCCTTCCTCGGCCGTAGTCGTAAGATAAAGAAGTCAGCAACGCGCTTAACGCAACATCAACAAATTTTACTTCTCGACCAAGCTCGGCCGTCAAGTTGGCACGCCCCGCATTCAACCGAATGACGTAGTTAGCTTATTAGTTACTTGATCTATGCGCTACGTAGGCTTTGTAATTTTTAGGGTCAAATTTTGGCACACCCAGTGGGACATTGTGCTAGACCTTCGGAGTTCATGACTATTGAGACATGGTCCGTAAAGAAGAAAACAATCATGGGATAGTCAACAACTGACTTACTAATGCAAGGCCCTGGGCAAGATTTGTCTCAGGTACAAAATCCGATCATTGTTGCGCCACCCGAGGATACAAGTGCAACACGCCAAGAGAAGGAAATTTGTCTCGGCAGACAGCCTCGCAACCCAGAAATTCCCAACCAAACGGTAGGCATTTTCATTGAAGGAATAGTGGAAGATTGTGACGAAGATGGTGGGAAGGGTTCTGATCCGCCAACTAGGTCATTTCTTCGAAGACGACTTGATGAACAATATCGACAGGTCGAGCAGTCGATTGGCCAGAAAATGAATGATTTACTAGACGCAATACACAGACCAGCTTCGAAGATGGCCACGTCGACCAACCTCGGCAGCCTTCTTTTACGAATGTTCCATTATAAGTCGAGAAAGGATCCGCTCGGCTACAACCAATTGACTTAGAGAAAAGAGGTGGATCAAGCAGTAGATCTAACGGACCTAACCAGGGAGTAGAAGCAGTATCCGTCAATATGACCAAGGTCCAAAGAATGATCGACTCGGCCTTAAAAAAAGGGCCGAAGTTCTCAAAATTCATCCACCCGTACCTGGCTTATATGGAAAAGTTTGAATACCTTAAGGCCAAAAAATTGAAGGGCAAAACATATTGCAAGTACCATAATTCAAACAAGCACGCTACCAATAATTGCATTGTGTTCTGGGACGCGATTCAAATTGGATCGAGAAGGGTAAGTTAAAATTCCCGGAGAAACATATGGCAGTCGACGTCAATCCATTCCCCTCACAACAATTGGTATGGTGGATGATCATCTCCCTAAAAACAAAGGACGTCAATCCATTCTGCCTTGTATGACCTGATTGCAACCTGCAAAAGGCCGAAGTTTTCCAATCAATAACTTGTTAACCTGTTTTTATCACCATAGTTTTTCACAATAGAAGTTTCTCCAAGCAAAAATTTGCTTTGAAAAGATAAGAATTTTATCCAACAAAACAAATGCTTTTTCGAATTAAAAA